AAAATATTCAATTGTTTCTCCCTAATGATTACATTACAGTCGAAACTTGTATAATATAGCGTTTATTCGAGTAACCAAGTTTCGAATATTAATAAAGGACAAAATAGAAACTAAAAACTTACAATAGTAAACATTTATATGTCAGTATTGATTGTTAACTTACATAAATTATTTCTCTTCTATTACTTTTTTTACACAGTGCGATACACTATAAAGGAGGAAACATATTTTGCATAGATTTCCGAAAAAAGTATTTTCAGTATCGGTATAGTCAAGCTTCCTTTTAAAAAAACACATATTCGATATGAGTGTTAATAAATCATCTTTGAGACATTTATATGATGCGATTCACTAAATGCCATTTGTTTATATACCATTTAATTTAAATATCAGCTTGGGAGGAAACTGTTGTGTTTGATAAAAATCTCGCACAACATAGTTTATATATTGCAAGTATTCTTTGTATTTTCCTAGTTGACTTATGAACGTATTAAAGTTTATTTGTACATTCTGTTGATGAACCACTGAATGCCTCGTCTTGCAATGTTGGTTATTAGAATGGTTTGAAAAGTAGCTAGGGAATTCCAAATCATGATATGGCCACAATTTTTGAAGCTATTGACTACTAGCCTGTCAAGTATCAGAATCTGTCGATTTCCTGGGGATCGCATAATAATCGTATTCAGTGGTTTGAGACGTGAGATGAAATCTCACGAAATCAGTCTCAATGGAGAAGTTTCATTTATTTTCCATCTTCCTCTAAGTCTTGAGTTAAGTATAATCCCCAACCTTCCTTCCTTCGATCAAAAAATTTCAACTACATTTATTACATTTAGATACCCAGTAGTTTTGATTTTATTTTTTATCCTATGGTCCTCATATTATTAGTTTCTCGCTGCGCCGATAATAATGTAGCAACTGGGACAAGTGCACACTACTATCGCTTATGATATTGATAATGACGGACTGATCGTACTTCCCTTCGGTAAATATACAAACCTATTTAACCTTTATTTTATATTGGTCCAAAAGAATACTGGCGAATCGTTCAGATAACTAGTAGTTAATTATTTTACTTTATATTATGTGAGATCACGGCGAGACTACAATTTATGAACGAACCAAACAGATAATAGATTACACATTCAAGCATAAACAGAAACTTCTAAATTTAATTATATCTCTGATTCCAGTAGGTTGATAAACTTATAAACAAACGGTATAGTGAGTTGGTAATAAAACTTGTAGATAAATAATAGATAATAAATAATTTACCTAAAGTAGGAACGCTTAACTATTGATAAAAGTTTTGTTATTGTATTTTATTATTCTCACTATTATCAGTTCACCTGTCTTCCTACTATCAATTTGTACTTTTACCTATTATGTGTAGTGACTTATTCTATTTCATTGTGATTATTGACCCATATTGCCTTGACTGGTTTAAAATTTTCGTATAAATATTCATGTATATTAGAGTAAAGCCTGATGACGATCTAACTGAAAACAATTGTTCGCTTATATGTGTTGTTCTAATTTTCACAATGGGAATCTTTATTACAAAGATATGTATCAGACCACTATAATCCTTGAAAATCAACTCAACTCAAAGCTACTAATGAGTTACTTACCTTTCACATAACGTATAATCAATGTTAATAATAAGCTGTAAGATATACTTAAAAATTATGTGCACTAATTATCTATGCACCAGTAAACATTGTTCTATTCTATTTATTTAGGAACTATAAATATGGCTTCTCTATACGGGAATCTTAACTTGTTTAAACAAAAACTTTCCTAGCATTGTGATGGAGTTGAATGACGATTGGTACCTCATTAAATATTTATGTCATTTCTTAACGGACATATATATAATGTTGGCATTGTGTCTGAAATAATTCTGGTATTTTTATCAAAATCTGCTAAGAATAGTATTTAAATTATGAGTATGGGGTTTTTGTGGAAATCACTGAATGTTATTGTGAGAAAATGTCCTGATTTCTGGTGAAAGGTCATGATCAGCGGGATTCAATCGTATCTGGTGTAAGGTAGTTATTCACAGAATACAATAGAAGATGATTGAGCACGATTGAGAACTGATGAAACTCAAGCATGAACTGCTAATAATATCGTAACAATGACTTAAACATTTGTGAATATTTTTTAACTTAAATGGCCATCTTGAAAAATATTTCGGTATTGAGTTTTTAATTCGTCCCAAATTTACAGCCTTTTGCTGTTTTGAAATTAGACTTGAATTTTTCACTCGTCATTTGCTCTTTATTAATACATGAAGTAAACAGCGTTTTATTACATAATGTAGATTATGAATATTATACATTTATAAAAACGACACACTTTTGTGAAAAACATGAACAGGAAATAATCTCATTGTGGTTACTCAATATCTACCCTGTAAACAAACAGGACCTTTAGTTTTCTCCAGATCAATATTACAAATTCATTGATTCACTTGTTGAATTGGTATGTATTGAAGCTATATACAAACTGATATGCTAAATTCCCATAAAGAAGTAGAACTTCAGTCTGCTTTTTTGTTTAGACATGGGCAGGTGACAGACACAAAAGAAAGTAAAAGAGAACAGACTACAACAAAGACCTATGCCAGTATTATTATTATTATTATCATCAGAAAATCAATAACAGCATATTAAGGTATTTTATTTGTCATAAACACTAAATTGGTTCCTGAATTTTATACTTATAATTAAATAGCCTATGATTTTGTGGAAATATACACTCAGAAATTAGTCTATGGAGTTTAGTAATTCATGAGTGATATTCTACATGCGTGACGATTGTTAATGAGCAACAAACATTGTAGGGCGAATGATTATCTGTTGTGTGTTACTAATTAACCCCTACATAAAGGAGGCTTTTTTCCTCATTTTCATTTGTGAATTGAAAGACAATAAGTGTTCTAGCTCTCTTTGTTTGAGTTAGTTGATGTTCTAGATAAATTCCAAAATTGATTTAAACAGTGGTCTAGTGGTTAAGTGCTCGCGCACGGAGCCAGTCGGTCCTCGGTTCGAGCCCCGCGTGGTGCGGGATCGTGGATGCGCACTGTTGAGGAGTCTCATACTAGGACGAAACGGCCGTCCAGTGCTTCCAGGTTTTCCATGGTGTTCTAGCTTCAATCGACTTATGATTTCAACCTGTGAAATTTCTAAAACTCTCGTCAGAACCCATTCTGGTAATAATTTATCATGTAACTAAAATTTATTGATTGAAACATTCAATTTTTAATAAACCAACCACAGATTCTAACTTTGTTTTGCTTACCAAAGTTAGTATTGTCTTAACAAAACTATTTATTCACCCCCACATATTATTAGGCGAATATTTATGAGATTAAACAATTACAGTATACTTTATAATGATAACTATTTTGTAAAATTTTGGAAAAACGTGCTAGAAAACGGTACGTCAAATCAAATCAATCTAAATGTTTGTTACTGATATTTTATCAAAAAAGTGATTGAAATATTTGTGTTTGATTAGAAATTTTCAAATGAAATGCGGTAACTTAAAGTATTGACAAAATTAGCTTCCGAAATATAACCATTACTTTGAATACCGTTTGAAGTATGACAAACTGGGTGTAAGCACAAGAATTCCTATAATTCTTTACCCTTGGATTCCTCATTTACGCGTTTCAAATACATCAATAGATGATATCACACAATGACTGCATATAAAAGTGTACAAAATGGTACAAAAGCAGTACTGTCAAAGCATATATATGTGCAAATATATACCTGAACAATAATTTTTACAACAGGAACCTTCAATAATTTGTAAAACTACCATGTGTAATCAAACCATACGACATCAAATAAATAATTAGTTAAGAAGCATGGACTCAGCACTCGTCAAATAGAAGAAATCGTTCGCGTCAAGCAACGAACGCTGTACTAACCGAAAAATGAGACAAGTAGAATTATTTTGCTCCAAACGTCAGTAATCAAAATATAATGTAACAATTAAATGAAAAGTCACGATTCACGACTAATTACTTATCAACAATGTTCCTAACAAGTAAAAAACGGAGTCTTTAACCCTTGGGTTTAGATTAAATGAATCGCAGTAAAAAAGAATAGCCAAGAATACGGTAACCGAATACAGTAGCCACCAAAATTCAAGGTCAAGAGAAACAAACTAGCAGTCAGAAAAATATCAGACCATAAACTAAAAAACAGTAACTTTAAAATCAACTAAAATATAAATATAATATACATAAGTAGAGAGACTTGTGGGAATAACGTTGCATGTAAGGAGAAACAAATAAATACTGTCACATGGGAAACATGTATGAAAGGATTTCTAGGCAAATTCATGAAACAACATGCGAAAAAAATTTCACATTGGGTTGTCAGTGAATTAAATATTTAAAATATAGACTCAAGACCACGGTATAACATATAATGCGAATATTAAACTGCACAAAACCTGGTATACGGAAGAGAAGCTCGGTAACTTTAAGAATATTTTCTCTACACATTTAGGATTGGACAGTATATGACTGTCAAAGACATATTTCCGACTTTGAGTAACTCAAAAAGTACTTTGAAACTGTTACCAATCAATGAGGTAATACATAATTTAGACTAAGGACCTTTCATTGAACAGGTCACAGAGCTCAGATGTGGTTATTCTAAATGACTGGTAAATTTTCGCAGAGATTTTTATCTTGTAGTTTTTCCTACAGAACTCCACTAACTTAAATGTAAACCAACATTTTTCTAGATAGTTTATAAAAACATAAATAGTTTCATAAAATATTGGACACGCGATCTGAGGCTGTCGTGCGCCAACTGGCTTAGAAGTGGACGTCGATCTTCGAACCGCTAAAGACTTATCTTAAGGTATATGTGTTCTCAAGAAATAGTGAAAATATACTCAACGTTGTCACGTCAAATGAGTGAATCATAGGCCGAAATAACGGTCATGTTTAGCGTCATATAGTCAATAAATTCGTCATATTATTAGTTTTTTTTATAAAACGAGATTATCCTCTGAATTTTATTGTGACTGTTATTTTTATTCATCATGTCAGACTGCGTTACACAAGACACGCGTATTACATGCTGAATTGATAGAAAGCTTGTTAATAGTCGCCGTTGTTTCGAAGCAGACCGTCAGTAAATAATCGAGAAAGATTTAAGGCTAAATTTAGTTCTGGTAGTTAACCATAATACTACAGAGAATGGTTCAGTTTTCTTCTAAACTCGTATTTTCACTTCGCAATACGCTGATCCCAGATCAAGTGTGGAAAATCACAGTGACCGCATAACGCATAAACCGTCAAGTATATTTGACGAAGCGGGAAATTTCTGTTTCGTAGTCTAACAAAGCCGGCCATAACCTACACAGAGTTGTGTGCACAAAACGAAAGAAGCTATCTCGATTCTGACTACCCATATGACGTAATACATTCCACGGCGTAAGTAAAGATTCATGTATTGGACTAAGTGTAACAAAATTTTTATAAGGACTGCACATGCAAATAGCCCAGAAACTTTCAATTAATTGGATTAGTCGTTAAAAGTTCGAACAAAAATGAGGAATCTTATCTGAAAAATATTTTAGCAAGGAAAAATGTATAATGATGATTTCCGTTATATTTATAAAATACCATACATGAATTTATAAATGATCGGATAATTTCACAACTTAGATGATATTAAATCCTCCAAATAAGCAAAATATAACAGGCCAGAGAAGAAAGATAGTATAAAACTAAAGCTGAAAGAATATTATCCTACAATAATTCAACCAAACAAAATGTGTCGAAAGTTTGAAAATATGGAAAATAACCTACGTTTCTCGCTGATATATCTGTGGTATTAGCTAAAACTAACAGTTATGAATAAATGATACTTTAGGGGAAAAATTATGTAGACATGGAGGAATACAGAACCGATTGATATATATATAAGGCATCGCTCGATTAAAAATTTGCTATACACTCGTGAAGTTGTTTTATATGATTAGTACTGGTAGCCAGCGATACTGTTTTCTTAAAAAATATCACATTGTAATAGAAAAAATGAATAAGTGTAGATTTAGAGGTAGATCTGCTAATGATAAAAATGAAATAACAGAAAGAGACACAAAGTGGAAGAAATAAAATGACAAGGAATTGAGGAAAACACTAATTAACAATTTGATGATTCCCAATAACAAGATAAAATACATACATAAGTAGAAGTACATAGTGTAGGCTTAAATAAAAACTACAATATATAGCATAGAGAAAGATAATAATAATAATAGAAACAAAAATACTTAAAAGTACTGCTACAGTATAGATTGATTATTCAAGCTATTCCCTTGTGTTACAAGTTGTTTCAAAGTAAATCATATCCATTTCAAGGAAAAAGAAATTTAACAGATAACAATGATAATAACAGCAATAGTTATAATAATATAGACACTTAGTCTTAATGAAAACCACATGAAAAAAAATCTAGTAGGATATTAAAAAAATAAAAATTGAAATGTTAAAGTTGATATGGATTGTTGTTAATTATTTAAAAAATCTTTGCTGAACAATTTAAAGATAAATGTGCTTAATCTATCCTTTTAGTGAGTAAATTGAAGAGAAATAATAGGATGAAAAGTACACTAACACATATAAATTCATATAGTATCGTACAATATGAACGAGTCATTATTATTTCTTTGTCATCTTAATTTACTCATGATAGAAGAAAGGCACAACAGGTCAACAATAATAAAGTCACAGTTTCATGTTTTTTCGATCTTCGTGTTCACATAGATACGTACATATATATGTATATATTTAACATATTTGAATGAACACGGTAAGGAAATAAATACAATTATATTATGCTACCGTATCACTGTTGTTTTCTTGATGATAACTGATCAATGACGGAAGTGACGTCACCATTCATTGTTGTTGAAAGTTGAGATGACTTTTCTGATTGAGATTTCGGTAATGGTGGTAGCAGATATTTGACAGTTGGTCTTATTAATGGCCAAAATACATACCATAAACCAATGAAATAAATTGATTTCAATGCCTGGATAGAAAAAGCAAAGTTATGGAGTTAATTATATGGATATTATCAGTCAGTCATGTGCACTGTAGTACTTGTCATATATGTCCATTAGTTCAACATGCTCTACATCACATTGAGATGGCAGAGTAGTAGAAATAGAAAGGAAATCAGTGGTAATAGAAGAGACTAGAGATAGATAATAAGGTTTGAGAAGAATGAATTTGTGGGATAGTAAAATAGAAGATAATTTCAAAACTGAAGATCTAAGAAAAGATAAAAAGTTAAAGCATCCACACTATTGTGACCGATTCTGGCCGGTGACTTTAATGCTCAAGTAGGTAAACTAAGCGATAGGGAAAGACACCTAGGTGGATCTTATGGTGTCGTGGCTCAAAGAACAGATAATGGCGACCGTCTGTTGCAGCTATGCTCAGATAACCGCCTGTTCCTTGCAAATACTAACTTTAAGCATAAGGAAAAACATCTTTTAACATGGCGACCCCCTAATTCGTCCCAACGTTGGACCCAAATAGATCACATCGCTATCAGCCACCGATGGAGGGGCTCGATAGAAGACTGTCGCTCATTCTGGAGCACATGCCTAGATTCAGATCATGCTCTAGTGCGAGTGCGTATTTGCTTGCGTCTTACTGGACGTAGGAAAGACGCTGCAAGGAAAACTCTTAGGGGCCTACTTAATGATAGTCAAGCTAAGAGTATATTTCAGGAACAACTAGGAAAACAGTTAGGCAGCCATGTATGTGATGCCCACCCCGATGCAGCATGGAATGATATCCGAAAAGCTGTGGAAACAGCAGTGATATCTGCTAGTAAGGTAAACCACAAGGTTAGGGAGCAACACTGGATCTCAGCAGCATCTATCGCACTGATAGATGCTCGGAAACTCATTCCACCTGGCTCTGAACATAATGAAGAGCGGAGTCAGCTTAAGCGCAAGCTGACAAAAAGTCTACGCAATGATCGCGAACAGTGGTGGGTAGCGAAAGCAAGAGAGATGGAAAAGGCAGCGGCAATAGGTAATAGCAGACAATTGTTCAGACTCGTTAAGGAAACCGGAATTAGGAACCCGACCGTTAGCGAAACAATCTCAGAAAAAGATGGACATATTATACATTTTCAATCCAGGAGATTGGATCGATGGGCAGAACACTTTAGGGATCAGTTCAACTGGCCTTCAGCCACACTTCGGTTTCCCACGATCTCTAGTCAACCTGAATGGCAAGTTAATGTAGGTCCTCCGTCCCTTTACGAAGTTGAAAAAGCCATAGGAAATCTGAAACGAGGGAGAGCAGCAGGCCCTGACAGGTTTACTCCTGAGATTTTTAAGGATGGTGGTCCAGTATTAGCAATGAGATTAACCGAGGTCTTAGGTAGAATTTGGGAACTGGACGTAATCCCATCTGACTGGTCTCAATCACTGATTGTGCCAGTCTATGAGAAAGGACAAAAGTCCTCCTGTGACAATCACATAGGAATCAGTTTGACTAATATAGTGTCTAAAATATTAGCCTCAATAATACTTCGACGCCTAATCAAAGCTCGTGAAGAGCAGATTAGAGAAAACCAGGCCGGTTGTCGACCTGGACGTGGTTGTATAGACCACATATTCACACTACGTCAGGTTCTAGAACACAGACACACATTCAGACGCCCCACAATGGTAGTATTTCTCGATCTTAAGGCGGCATTCGACTCTGTTGATCGTGAGGTTCTATGGCAGTGTTTGTCACTGAAAGTAGTACCAAAGGAGTACATTAACCTTATAAAGGTTCTCCACTCGAATACAAATGGTTGACTGAGAGCTTATGGCGAACTGTGATCAGAATTGATTACCTCAGGTGGTGTTCGTCAGGGCTGTCCACTCTCTCCATTCTTGTTCAACTTTGTGGTCGACGTACTTTTAGAGATAACACTCTCATCATCTAAATTTACAGGGGTTGAACTCCTACCGGGAGGTTCACTTGTTGACTTAGAATATGCAGATGACATAGTTTTATTTGGTGAAGACGCTGACAAAATGCAGAGTCTTCTTACCACTCTAAGCAACAATGCAAGCATGTTCGGGATGCGATTCTACCCCACGAAATGCAAAATGTTGCTTCACGATTGGGTTACATCGACACCCGAACTAGTGATAGGGAGTGAAGTAGTTGAGTGTGTCGATCGCTTCACTTATCTTGGAAGTCTCATCAGCCCTTGTGGTCTGGTTTGTGACGAAATCTCAGCACGGATACAGAAGGCTCGACTAGCTTTTGCCAACTTGCGTCATTTATGGCGTAGGACGGGTTTACTGCGCAGCAGTTCGTTCCGTCCTTCTTTATGGCAGTGAAACATGGCCGGTAAGAGTAGAGGATATTCGTAGGCTACTAGTATTCGATCATAGGTGTCTTCGAAACATTGCTCGTATATCCTGGGACCATCGAGTAAGTAACACAGTTGTTAGGAAACGGGTACTAGGTAAGGATAGCAAATCAATTGATGAAGTAGTGAAACTTCATCAGTTGAGATGGCTGGGACATGTGTTACGTATGTCCAACGACCGACTGCCTCGACGTGCTATGTTCAGTGGTATAGGAGTAGGTTGGAAGAAAGCTAGGGGCGGCCAAACCAAAACATGGCACAAGTCCATGAAGTCACTGACAAGTGGACTGAGTCATGTTGGTAGGTGCAGACTACCTGGTTGGGGACCGCGAGATGATAGCAACCGATGGTTAGAGACCCTGAATGACATGGCTCAAAATCGTTTGCAATGGCGCAGGTGCATCCACTCTCTGTGTTCTCCCAAATTCTAATCTTCTGAATTCTTCATGTCCCTTTTTTCCTCTTTCCAAATTTATTTCACTGGATTATACTCCTTGAATAACATCTCCGAACCCTAATCTTTCTGAATACTGCCCATACTTTTACTACCTCTACCACTACGGGATTTGAATCGACAACTGCATCTCTGTGCTTATGTGGTGTGGCAACTCGAACTGATGTACATACGTACGAAGTTCTACATTGTTACTGACTGACTGACTGACTGATCAATATCACACAACATTTACAACAATTCGTTACGACGATGGCCAAATGCTATTCAGGTACTCTGAACCTACTTACACAGTTCAGTAAAACAGACAATGACTATATGAACTGACAGTATATATTGTTTTTGGCTGCCCTGTATATATAGATATAGATATAAGGTAACAAAGAAGTTTGCATGAAATAAACAACTATACAACGTTAGTTGTACTCAAATGAGTAAAGAAACTTTTATTTCTCATAGAGTAAATATTTAAACCCTTTATATATAATTGTAATAAAAAAATACATAGATAATGTTACAAAACAGACATATAAGAAGTAAACCGTGAGGACTGGGATCGAATAAATCAAAACCGTTTCTAATACAGTACAGTTAATAGTGCTTTATCTAATATTGAAGAAAATACTTTCAATCTCAACATAATAACTGTTTCGGAAATTGCCGAAATTTATATAAATACAGTTTACAACCCAAAAATCTTCTGAATACCTCACTCAATGATGATGAATATCCAAATAGGACAGAACAACCTTACAATACCCGCCTAATTTCTAATGATTTCCCACTTGATATCACTTCAGGATAAAAGAATATGTAGATCCAATTATTAAATATTATTTAAGTTAATGAAAAAATTGGTTTCGGATTATTTGACAATTGAAAATAATTAACAATAAAATCACTTACAGGGAACCATAGATGAAATTTTAACAAATAAAACGCCACCATCGGACTAGACAAAATAAAATAAATATGAAGTTTGCCACATACACTGCTGATTACACGTCCAGTAAACGTTTTATAAAAGAAATGATTGTATTTTGAATTTTTCAGTATAGATAAAAACTGATTAGAAACAAAAAAAAAACAATAGCATATGTACATATATTGAGAAAGAATAACTCAGTCATACTAATTATAATTATGAAGTGCAATGATATACACTTTTAAAAAACTGAAAATAATTGTTACTTTTGACCACTGATCCATAATCATGTGAAAAAGCCACTAATCAGAATCGCAATTTCTGTGACAGTATCCCTGAGTTCATCAATTATACGTCCAATCAGCACTAGTAATCTTAAGTTAACTAATAAGTTCTTATCGGTCCACGATTCTGTAGCATCTCTATCCTGCCTGTTGAGTTTAGAAGTCAGTAACCAACCTCCACTACATTATATTTTATTAATGAGTAGTCTATACACGATTATATCAGACAATATCACACCATAAAATGAAAGACATCAATTATGCATGAATAAGCTAAAAGTGGTTATGAGTAGAAGATACAGTAAATAAAAAACTAGGATCAGATTAAGAATAGTAAATCGTATAACAGTAGTTGATAAGTCAATAGAAAGCTAATGATAAAAGGAATATATATATTATAATAGTCCGTAAATTTCAAACAATGACTTGCCGTAAATAAAGAGTTCTCAAGTTAGCTCATTTAATGCTATTGGTTCCCTTCACAAACTTAGATGGAAAAAACAACAGTATTTGCAGGATATGATGAATTCATTGTATTTCCTTGCTTTCGCTTTAACTACACACAGGTTAATAAGTTTAACTATATTCAAATATAAACGTACCATTCAATTAGAAAAAAACGAATTGTTCGTTTGGAATGCAAAAGAAGTTAAGAAATAAATTTTTGCAACATTTTTTAGAATTTTGAGATGGTGAAGATTTGATGGAGTTTTGTTCTCTGAGCTGGATGGTTTAGTCATCGACCAACAAAACTCCATCAATCTTTTTTAGAATTGTTTAGTGCGATGGTTATAACATATTTAAGATAATTTACTGCCGTAATATGGCAGGTAATCCAGGACATCTAGGAACAATAAAAGTAATGTGCGACTTAAACTCACTAAATTTTCATTATAATTAATTGAAGCAAAAAGGTCGGAATGGTTAATTCGCTTTGTTTACTACGGTAGTTGAAGGTTAAACATCGACTCTTTGAATATAAAGGTTGAGCTTAAGCCTACTGATTGCCATAGCCTTCGCAAATCTTAAGCAGATAAAATTAGACAATTCACTGACTACTTTGAATGTTTCCTTTGGTTAAACGTTATATTTTGTAGGTAGCTAGTTGCATTTAGTCAAACCATGAATCCTGGTTTGTTGATGAAGACCATTTGGTAGGTTAAACTCACACGAGCTTTTTTTCTGCTACACTTACTAAAGATTTTGTTCTGTCACGTAAAAAAAACTAAATGACACATTCTAGAATCATCATTCTAAACAAGTATAAAAACCTTTTTAAAAGGTTCATTTCTTTACTTTGTTTACATTTGAGATAATTAAAAATTTTCGAGTTACATGTGATTGACGAGAAAACAGAGAGGTACAGTAAATTCATTGGATTATGAGAAAAACTATTATCGAACAAACATATCAACTGTCACACTAGCAACTACATTAGAATTGAAAGATTATACATTGTTCTATGCTAAAATATGAAAATTCAGTTTTCAATTTTTGAGTAACGCTAAAGTGACCCTCGGAAAATTTATCTACCTGCTAGGGCCAAAAGGTCATAAATTAATGTGAGGAATTATGGTTAGGATTTAGATTCAGAAGTTAGGCTTAGGGTTTTCATCACGAACTGACGTCAGCTATATTGCTAAAATGCTATTTAACTGTATACATGAGTGAATCTCGCGCCAAAATCCAAGACTTGTTATCTCTGATTTCACTGGTTCGTCAACAAATTGTAGTCTGACCAAAATTTTCACTAAATTTTAGATGATACCATACAATGAAGACAATCATTAATCACATACCCATTTTGTTTTCAAAACAAAACATAAACCAATATACTCTGTTTTAAAGCTAAATGATTGAACATTAGAGTGAAACACTCAAACAGACAATTAAAATGACCTAGAGACACTACAATAGACTAGTATATACCAGAAACACGAATATAAAAATGATATATTAGTGCTGGATTTTGGAAAAGTCGAGATTGTGACTAATTCTATGTGAAACAAGGTAACTAGAACCTGCAAAGTTTTCACCAGTGGTAAATGAAAATAGTGATACTATCTAAAGTAATTTGAAGTTTGAACCATACTTTCCTCAAATAAGTCTTAATTTATTATTGTAGTTTGCAAAAAGTTTCCTTTGGCGAACAAAAAGAGGATCAGTTCGATTACAACATTGCCTTATGCTTTTTATAATCATTCGACCAAGATGCATGTGCTGATCAGATCACCTTGAGAGTTTAATCATCTCTTAAAGATGAGCGACCGATGAATCCTGGCAGAGATTCATGATGTTTCTTATCTGTCAAATAAAAAAATACTTTACAACAGTTCACATTGTATAGCTTCACATATTTGTAACATAATTATTGCAAGTGGATAACACAGTATGTGGACTGTACACCGCGTAACACCTCCATACTACTTTATCCTACAAACATTGGCTTTATCAGTTCAATAAAGAGTTAACTGAATAGCCGAGCATTGAAACAATCAAGATCGCGAAATATATAAAAATGTGTGTATAATAAAACAAACAAAACTTACATCTTTTTCAACTGTCACTACTAATAATTCTATTCCAAAATTGACATAATAGCCACTGTATGTACCATGCCAAAGTGCCAAAAATAATAATGATATTATTTGAGATAAATTTTTATTGCCCAAGAAACGTAAGCGTTTATAAACATAACTAGAAAACACAATCAACAAATATAACAGAAACTTGTAACAATGCTATAGGAATACAATTTCTTAATAGAATTACAACCTAGTTTCATTTCTATTCAGTAGCATATCTTCAAATGAAGCACATGTGTTATTAATTTAGAGATATTTCAGTTTCAGTTGGTTGTAAAGACTAATTTAATGAGATGACGATGTTCGCTATGGATTGATATCAGACGTGAAACTATTAAAAAAGAGGAGGATCTAGACAGCTGTTTCGTTCTACTTTTAAACTCCACAACAATGCGCACCCATAAGTGTTTTCTAACGTAATACTCTACAACTGGTTCATCTTTCCTGAATACTCAAGGAAATAAGAATGACTCACGAAATCAACACCAGATAGACAGACGAATCAATGTAAATCACATGACATTTATTCTCTAAGACAACCAACTAAGAGATCACAGACAGAATCATCAGTTCATATCATCAACACAAGGATTATAGAAACCACGGTAGACTTTCTCGAGATATTTTTCTTTACTTGAGGACGTCTATCCCATAAACAAGACTATATCGTAATCTCTTGATACTGACCCTAACTATGATTATTTCCTGTATTCACCTAATAGTATATACAAGTACAAATTAACTAGAATATAAAAAGAGAGAACGTAAATAAGACTAAGATAATAGCATATTAAACATTAGGAATTAAATAAAGAATGAACATACTAAAACACTAATGAAACAAATTTGACCAACATTTTAAATAATTAACTTCTGTCAGCTTGATGATAACATGATTAAAAATTTACCGGCTTATGTATTGAATAAATACATACATCTGTGAAATATTATTGGTCTGATCACAAACAGGTGTACTCAGACATAGTAAAGTCCAGTAATACGTCATCTCATAGTGCGTAATATCAATTTTGCAAAAACGTTTCAGAGATATTATAATTACAAAAACTTCACCTGTAGCTCTTCTACAGCTACTGCCGGTCCCAAGCTCTGGTAAAAGAGGAAAGTTGGGCATGTGGTCAGCAACCCCACTCCGTAGAAAACAATCTCGCTAAAATAACGCCATCCAGATTAAACAAATCAAACGATTTAAACTCTGCCATCTGAGATGAAGGAAGAATTATGACGCGTTATGATAAAAGCCGAGATTCGTAGGAAGTCACGAGATCGATGCCCCTTCTAACAAACAGATCAACAATTTTATAGGTACATGGAATGTACGGACAATGTGGGAGACCGGGACGACCAGTCAAAAAGCAACGAAAATGATGATATACAAATCGGTGTTGCGCAGAATCAGCGAAACACATTGAACTCAAGCTGAATAGCAAAGGATAGATCCAGGAGATGCTGTTGTACTTTGGTCACGAGGAAGAAAGTGCTCAGCACACTCAGCGAGTTGTTCTAATGCTGTCCAAGGAAGCACGAAATGCACTTGTAGGATGGGAATCTCACGGATCCAGAATCATCAAAGCATCATTCAAAACAAAGAAGGAAGGGATCTTAATGAATATTATCCAATGTTATGCACCCATTAATGATAGCAACGACAACAATAAAGATCAGTTATATGATAGGCTGCAGCCAATCATAGTGCCTAAGAAAAAACCTCACCATCCTGATGGGAGATCTAAACACCAAAGTCGGAACGAACAATAACGGATATGAAGATATCATGGAATGACAGCGACTGACTGGGAGAAAGAAATGAGAACGGTGATAGACTTGTAAATCTATGTACCCAATATTCGCACACGGACGCATACACAAAGCTACATGGATCTCACCAGACCACACCACGGAGAACCAGATAAATCATATTTCATGCAATTGGTTCCCTTTATGAATTTAAATAGAGCAAGAACAAACATTGATGCAGAATAGTATGAATTCATATATATTATCAGAATGGGTTTTGTGGAGATTTTAGAAATTTCACAGATTGAAATCATGAGTCAGTTGAAGCTAGACCACCATTGAAAACCTGGAAGCACTGGACGGCCGTTTCGTCCTGGTATGGGACTCCTCAGCAGTGCGCATACATATCTTCACACAAAACAATAAATAATTACTATTCATTTATACACAGACTGTCGATTCAGTATTTCATAAATGTAAAAAGACAACTTACTCTAAAAGCCATCTGTTGGTATTGATGTTGAAACCAGCGACAAGATCATCAGTATTTGTTGCGAAAATATATCGTTTTAAAGAGATATTTGCACAGGCTGTATGAGGAGCTTCACGTACTATCACTTGTGCAGGATCATAAAGTTCTGCATGGGATTTGATATAGTTTTCTACAAGAGACCAATCCACAGCAGAATCCCGACGTTTTAAAACAGGACCGTCACGTGTAACCGTGTCAGAATCCTTATTTGTTATAAAATCGGGAAGTTGAATAGATCCTTTAGATCTAATATGAACAAAACCAGTACATCCAAGCCCAATTAAAACACAAGAACCTTCCTTTAGGAGAAAATAATGATAAAACAGGCTTTTCGTAAAATGAAGTAGCATTAAATCATGTAAACTAGAATAGGTGAACCAAAAATATATATCACATTAAGTACATATGCTAGAAATGAATTGCACTCAAATAAAAAGAGAAGCTTATGTACTGCTGATAGATTCTGAACAGATTTAATAGGAGAATATCACAGTGACTTCGAATCTTTTAATAAACAGAGGTAGCTCCTAATACTTATCAATCAAATTGTGTTAATTTCAAAAGTTCACCCTCACCCGGCATATTCCTACACAATCGAAAACTTGGGTCTAACATACTGTGCTGCTCAGTAACCCTTGGATTTTAGTGTTAATTTGAGAAACCTTGTAACCGAATACTAAAAACAACAATAACCACAGAAAATTCAATAACATGTATTCAAAAAACACTTCACTTCAACAAAGACTATACTCAAGATATCTGTTTGCTTTTCTAATTATGGTACAACATGCTACTTAATTAGCAGAATACAGGATAAAACTCTTCGTGAAAAGTAAGCAGCGAACATCATAAAAAGTTGACCTTTTTCCCACGACCAAAGTGGTCAATTTAATTTTTATGGTGAAGTAACCAGTTATGACTACAGACTGTCATGTCCATGATATTATCATAGTAAACTGACGAAATATGCTAGTGAACAAATTTCGAAATACTATTTAGTTGCAAACGTGTACACTAGACACAATAAATTAGTCGAATTATTTAAAACTAGGAGTCCAATACTAAGACGAAACGGCAGTCCAGTCCTCCCAGGCTTACAGTGGTGGTCTAACATTCATCGGTACATGATCTCAATGAAAATAATCATTATTAAAGTAACACGAAATTCAGGCTTACAGCTATTAGCCAGATTGATACATAACGTAATAACGTTAACTGTCCAAATATCATCATGTAAAGCAGACGTGAAAAGAAACTCCATTCCTGCAAACAAAGTTTTCAATAACGAAAGTGACAGTATAAAGGATGACAAAATAAAAAACAGTAATATACTGATTTGATTTGTACTTCAATTACTCAACAAAAAAACATAAAAACACATCCAATTAAAGCAGCACTAAATAATACGCATGAAAGAAATTCAAAATTGTCATTCGAATGTATAAGGATGAAAGGCAAAAATGAAAGCGTGAATTCATGCGCAGTCAGTTAATTATTATAACGGTCATATGGACTACGTACATATACTACTATCAACTTATTTACCATAGATAGATTCGCACACTTGGCTTTGAGACACAACCCCAGTTCCAATGACCAGTGCTATTAACTGATCGCCAAAACCATGGTAGGTGGACAGAGTTTCGAACTGGTAACTTAGTGGCTGAAAATCATACGGCTAACCACTAATTGCTAATCTATGGATGTACAAAGTTATAATCCATCTTTAGCTATACTAATATATATAGCTTAATTGTTAATTAACTGTTACGTCAATTCATGATACAAAACTATTATTAAAAAATCATTGGCGCTCAACTGACTAAATTCTAACATAAAATTAGAAGCGTAAACTACCGTATTTTGACTTAGAAGTTTGAATGTATCATCCTTATTCCGAGATCTGAATGTCCGAAATTCAACCTCATATGCAGAAAAGTGGGTTTGTACGGTACTGTAAAGTCGCAAACTACACTGAAATAGGCATCTAGTTCTACCTGGTTTACAATGGTTTCCTAGATGATCCCAGGCTCTGATGAAAGCTGCCATCAAATTATACGAAATCACTACAAACCATCTTGAGTGATAGACTTTCATTAACAAACAAATCAATGAACTGATTTCCCATCGACCATAAACCTGAATTTAGAATTTACCTCAAGCAAATAAATGGGGGAAAAATGTACACATAGTATTAAAATGGAATTATTTATTCGACTAGATTTTTGTACGGCAAATTATGGATGAGTATAAATAAGAACTGTGAGTAAACTCAAAGTTTTAAATCAAATCACAGGATAAATAAACAGATATAGGTCAACTTTAACAGCAGAATAAAATTAGTACATTGGACAAAAAGTTGGAGGCTATATATGTGCCAGAAGTACATATGTGAAATATTTTAGGCTAATGAAATGAATGAAACTGCAATGATTTTAATCAGAACCAACATTTGTAAAAGATGTTAAAATCAATACAGAAACCTGATACAACACAATAAAAATCCTCGAAGAATAACTTCCAGTTTAATACGTACATGCTGTAATACCCACGATGTTTCGAAATTTATGGTAAGAACGTCAAAAAAAATTACTCAATTTATTTTACTAGCGTGGTAGTAATTCTCCTTCCCCATAGTTCTAATTAATAAGGGTAATTTTAGAAGTTGATACGTGCAATCCACTCCATTTCGTATTTTGAATTTCCCAATTTTCATTTTTCTTATTTTTAATGTATTGCATTAGTTTTGTATATTTCACTTTTCTTCGTGTTTGTTTACTGTGCTAGACTGGAAGTAGACTGAGAGATAAAAGCTCTTGTCCTAGGATCTACGTCATTAATCTATAGCTAAACATGCTACGTTTAAGATATTTCTCGAAAAAATAATTATTAAAATTTTAGCCTGCAGTGAGTTGATGGTTGTAAATGTTTCAGTGGATTAAGCAGTTCCTATAACAAAATGTATATTTGTTTTATGATAGAAACCCATTAAAATTTAGTACAAGAGAAGCTAAACATAAATATTGAAGGGTTTAAAAGTATTAAATCTTCATGTAACATATTTACAAAAGCAGATTTCTGTAACCAGGTTAAAGGTGGATTTTATTGCAAACCTTATTATATTATTCAACTACTCATATCAAAATAGATTAACAATTATAAGAAATTGCGACGTGACAGTTGAAGTTGAAAGATTTAATTCAACTATCAAAACTTTTATCATTAACGAGCTGATAATACTAACGAAACAGATACAGCCAATTTTTATGAAGCTTCTTTCTCTAGGTTGAAATTTTCGATTGTGAGGCTCCCACTGTTCTTCTGAACAACACCATTAGTACAAAATTCAAACAGAAGTAAGTCATTCGAATTCCTCCATATACAACTAATAGCTTGTCATGTAGATCTCGATCTTGATTGGTTATTGTTGACAAAATGGAAGACAATCAAAACAAATATCCAGGCAAGAGAACGGTCGACGGGAAAAACTGTCAGACATATTTGGGGAGACTCCAATAGTTTACCTTCACCTACATTTTGTGCTGATCATGTTTTCCAAAAGAGCAATGAACGCTTCATGATTAAAACATACAATTCGGAGAACGAAACTCCACCTGTCATTTATTTGAGTAACAAACCCCTACCCTCCCAAGATACCGCCAAAAACAAAATAATTTGTAAGCGTTATAAAATAATACAAAGAATGTCTGCAGATGATTAGAATAAGATATTGAAACCGTACAAAACAATCTTCTCAAGAGAAAAATAGTAGTCCTTTGTTGCAATCTTAGTGTAAGATATTTGCTACTTCTGTATGTATTATTCGAATAAACTTACTCTGAAATAGTATAACATGAAACTAAGTGTAAAAAATCAATAATTTACAGTGATAACTGTTTTGAATAAGATTTTTCCGCCAGAATCTTGTGATGGGGTAGTTTAATTTAGACAAATGAAATTGAAGACCAGTGACAACTTTTCAGAAGAAAATAAAACAGATTAGAAAATAACCCAACTTCATAAAGCATAATGTGTATATGAAATAACATACATAAACCATTTAATCGTATATTCAAAGTGCAGTTAAACTAACATATTGAAACTCATCAGTTAACATTTTATCGGCAGGGTACATTGCGAACCATTTCGATAAAACAATTACGCCAAAATATCCCAATACCAAGCGATTCAATGTCCGATAGAACCTGTTACACATAAGGAGTACAATTAAGTAACACGTATCATAACAAAATGAAACTGACTAAAAACGTTGTGATTTAAGGATTGTTCATCAGTCAATCAATCTTATGCAACGTAGAACCTGGCTCGCATGTACATAGGTTCGAGTTGTCATACTTCACTAACATTGTCAGATGAAATTATCAGGACCAATTCCAGAATAGTAGACGTAATAGAGAAGATTAGGCATGGAAGATAAGATTTGGGAAAAATAAATTAAAGAGAAAGAATATATTTGTGAAATTCAGCCAATTATTTGAAGTAAACCGAACGTTCCACCTGGCAATCTCAGTCAGTCAGTCAGCAACAACGTAGAACTTCGTACGTACATACATCAGTTCGAGTTGCGATACCACATTAGGACAGAGATGCAGTTGTCCATTCAAACCCCGTAGTGGTAGAGGTAGTAAAAGTATAGGCAGTATTCAGGAAGATTAGGGTTTGGAGATGTTATTGAAAGAGTGTAATACGGTGAAATAAATTTGGAAAGAGGAAAAAAGGACATAAAAATTAAGATTAGAATTCGGGAGAACACAAAGAGTGGATGATACACCTGCGTCATTGCAAACGATTTTGAGCCATGTCATTCAAGGTTTCTAACCATCGGTTGCTATCGTCTCGCGGATCCCAGTCAGATAGTCTACATCTACCAACATGATTCAGTCCACTAGTCAATGACTTCATGGATTTGTGCCATGTTTTGGTCTGGCCGCCCCTAGCCTTCTTCCAACCTACTCCTACATCATAAAATATCGCATGTCGGGGCAGTCGGTGGTTGGGTACACGTAACACATGTTCCAGCCATCTCAACTGATGAAGTTTCACTACATCATCAATTGGTTTGCCATCCTTACCTAGTATCCGTATCCTAACAACTGAATTACCTACTTGGTGGTCCAAGGATACGAGCAATCTTTCGAAAACACCTATGATCAACTAATAGTAACCTAAGAATACCACCCACTCTTAGCGACGAAGTTTCACTGCCATAAAGTAGGACGGAACGAACTGCTGAGCAGTAAACCCGTCCTCCTTTGGTTGATAGATGGATGTCTCGCCCACGTCATAAATGACGCAAGTTGGCAAAAGCTAGCCGAGCCTTCTGCATCTGTGCTGAGATTTCGTCACACACTAAACCACAAGGGCTGATGAGACTTCCAAGATAAGTGAAGCGATCGACACGCTCAACTACTTCACTCCCTATCACTAGTTCGGGTGTCGATGCAACCCAATCGTGAAGCAACATTTTGCATTTCGAGGGGGAGAATCGCATCCCGAACATGCTTGCATTGTTGCTTAGAGTGGTAAGAAGACTCTGCATTTTGTCAGTGTCTTCGCCAAATAGAACTATGTCGTCGGCATATTCTAAGTTAACAATTGAATCTCCCGGTAAACGTTCAACCCCTGGAAATTTAGATGAGAAAAGTGCCATCTCTAAAAGCACGTCAACGACAAAGTTAGGCAACAATGGAGAGAGTGGACAGCCCTGACGAACACCACTTGAGGTAATCAATTCTGATGACAGTTCGTCATAAACTCTCACTCTACCAGTTGTGTTCGAGTAGAGAGCCTTTATAAGGTTAATGTACTTCTTTGGTACTCCTTTCAGTGACAAACACTGCCATAGAACCTCACGATCAACAGAGTCGAATGCCGCCTTAAGATCGAGAAATACTACCATTGTGGGGCGTCTGAATGTGTGTCTGTGTTCTAGAACCTGACGTAGTGTGAATATGTGGTCTATACAACCACGTCCAGGTCGACAACCGGCCTGGTTTTCTCTAATCTGCTCTTCAGGAGCTTTAGTTAGGCGTCGAAGTATTATTGAAGCTAATATTTTAGACACCATATTAGTCGAACTGATCCCTCTTTGATTGCCATAAGAGAACTTTTGTCCTTCCTTATCGACCAGTCAAATGGGATTACGTCCAGTTCCCGGATTCTACCTAAGACATCAGTCAATCTCACTGCTAATACTGAATCGCCATTCTTAAAAATCTCAAGTATAAACCTGTCAGGGCCTGCTACTCTCCCTATAACTTTTTCAAGTTCGTAAAGAGTTGGAGGACCTACATCAACTTGCCATTTAGGTCGACTGGAGATCGTGGGAAACCGAAGTGTGACTGAAGACCAATTGAACTGATCCCTAGTGTTCTGCCCATCGATCAAATCTCCTGGATTGAGAGTGAATAATACATCCGTCTTTTTGCGAGATAGTTTCGCTAACAGTCGGGTTCCTAATAACGGTTCCCTTGACAAGTCTGAAGAGTTATCTGCTGTAGCCTATTGCCGCTGCCTTTTCCATCTCTTTTGCTTTCGCTAACCACCACTGTTCGCGATCATTGCGTAGGCCTCTTATCAGTTTGCGTTTAAACTGACTCCGCTCTTCGTCATGTTCAGAGCCAGGTGGATGAGTTTTCGAGCATCTATCAGTGTGGTAGATGCCACTGAGATCCAGTATTTCCTCCCAAACCTTATGGTTTAACTTACTAGCAGATATCTCTGTTGTTTCCACAGCTTTTCGGAAATCACTCCATGCTGCCTCGGGGTGGGCATCACTTACATGGCTGCCTAACTGTTTTCCTAGTTGTTCCTGAAATATATTCTTAGCTTGGCTATCACTGAGTAGGACCCTAAGAGATTTCCTTGCAGTGTCTTCCCTGCGTCCAGTAAGAAGCAGACGATTTCGCGCTCGCACTAGAGCATGATCTGAGTCTAAGAATGTGCTCCAGAATGAGCGACAGTCTTCTATCGAGCCCCTCCATCGGTGGCTGATAGCGATGTGATCTATTTGGGTTCAACGTTGGGATGAATTCGGGAGTCGCCATGTCAAAAGATGTTTTCGCTTATGCTTCAGGTTAGTATCTGCAAGAAACAGGCGGTTATCTGAACATAGCTGCAACAGACGGTCGCCATTATCTGTTCGTTGAGCCACGACACTATAAGATCCACCTAGGTGTCTTTCCCTTTCACTTAGTTTACCTACTTGAGCATTAAAGTCATCAGCCACTATTACTACATCAAAGCGCCTGGCTTTTCGGAGAAGGTTGGAAAGCTTTCTGTAAAGCTCATCTTTTTTCCTCATCTGAGCTGCAGTCAGTGGGAGAATAGGCACAGACGACAAAGAGGCAACGACGAGTGTCCCTATCTTTCCGAGTCCTTACTGTTCCGTTTAGTCGGACAGCGCACAAACGACTGTCTACTGGTATCTAGTCTAAGATAGCTAGTTCTGCCCTAATGACTCAATGCTATACCTATACCAACGAGGCCACGGGAAGCAGCACCAGGGCTTTCAGATACACGAAGCGTGAATCGAGATGGTTCTCTATTTTGATATGGTGGGGTCAAATGAATGACGCTACTCGGGTCCAGTATACACGTTTCGGAGGTGCAGTATACGTCAACAGCGCGAGATTCTGAAGTCCCAGATGAGGAAACCTGTTATCCTATTTGGCACAGTGTTCGGACATTAAAATCTAGTACATGTAGTTTAGAGCGTGGTTTCAGGAGATCGGGAATAGCGTTCCGCGTACTCGAATCGTTTGCATTAGTGGTGCGAGGTGATAAAGGAATGTAAGAAGGGTTAGTCGTGGAGATAAGAGAGTTATTAGGAGATGTAGGAAGGATTTGAATGTAACCAACTTGACCTCGTGTGCTGACACGATTATGAGGCTGATGTCACTTCCCAGCTGCCTACACCGTGGAACGGTATTTCTTGAGAAACCTGAAAAGGAGGTTGAATTAGTGTTGGTCTTAACGACCTGGGAGCGTGACCGCAGAGCCCAAGGGACAACTGCTTGGGGCCGGTCGCGCAAGGTCTTTTCGTGGGAGGTTTTTGATGTGTTAGCTCCGTTCTTCAAAGGGCCTTACCGCCGGAGACGGAAATGCGTGAGGTAAGTTGAGGTGTGACATTTTTAGGGTCAACCTTTTCTAACCCCTTCCTTCCTTGTGAGAAGGCAGCAATGCTGCAGATGCTAGTTGTCCGAGAGAAACACCTTACTGCTATCACACCCCTCTACAGTCAGCAGTACGACTTCGCCCTCAGACCCCAAGTTGCTGCTTTTAGTCTTACCGTTCTCCAATCGACCTGCCTGGCATGGTAGAACCTACAGGGACATATGTTCCGGCCAATATAGCTCGGTTGGGCCATCATGATAGGCAAGTCCGACCACCGCGTCAAGGTAGTAGCTACGGTTGGGACCTGGCAATCTGGTTCAAGCTTTTTCAAGGAAATATAATCAAACATCAAGATTATCGAATATAAATAGGTACATGGTTCTTCGGTTCACTGTATACTGAATAGGTCATCCAATCAACGTTAACAATGTTTAAAGTAGGTATTCGTAAAAATTAAAGCATTCACCTACATACGCTGCATTACACTCACTACATTTGATTTCATAAACACAATTTCGTTACTCCTCCTTGTGTATTTGATCTTTGATTCTTACTAGTTTTGATCAAAACATCAGAACAACTGGATGTGGGGGTGAAGGAACACAAACTATGTTTAGAAACGACATTCGTAAATCCTCAGACGATGTAAGAAAACTAGAGAACAAATCAGCAATAACATTACACTCGATAGAATCGGGTCATATGATTGATTCCAAAGGCACGATAATCCTTCAAAAAGGCGTTAATTCTTACAAAGAAAGACTAAAAGCCGAAGCCCTACATATATGGGCTAATCCAAACAGTATTCATAGGAGATGGAATACAACTAGCTGTCCCATGGCAACTAATAATTAATAAGTAAACCTGAACTCCTTATTCCGTTCTGTCTATCTAGTATTTACTAATTAACAGATATTACATTCAACGATTCCAGTCAGTTGTCTTATCTGAATATGTTAAATAATTAACTGGAACATTAAAATAACACAAACACTCGGTTACAAATACATTTTTCCTCTTTGACTCAAGTAAACAATACCAAGTGAATTTCTTGTTTAGTTATCTTCATTTTATGCATGCTGCGACATTTTCGATTCATATCATTTATAAAAATTATATATTTTCTTAAACTTCACCGACCAGAGACAATATATAGCGAATGAAATTTCTTCTCACTTGCGTATACACACAATCTGTTATATTAACACACTTTTCATTTCACACATGTCTCTTACACACTAATGTAAATACCTACTTTAAACATTGTTAACGTTGATTGGATGACATATTCAGTATACAGTGAACCGAAGAACCATGTACCTATTTATATTCGATAATCTTGATGTTTGATTATATTTCCTTGAAAAAGCTTGAACCAGATTGCCAGGCGAAATGTTGGATTTACTTCAAATTCATTGGCTGAATTTTACAAATACGTTCTTTCTCTTTAATGTCTCACATCAACTCGGCGCCTAAATACTATGAAACTATTCTATCGAAATTCACTTGGTATTGTTTGGCTTGAGGTTTAAGACTGCAAATGATCGAAAGTTCTTATATAGAAAGTATAAATTGGTGGAATAAAAAAATCGTATAGGGTAATTCAGAAGCTTAAGAACTAAAAGAAGAGTGAATGCACGTGATACAGTGAGAACGAATTTGAACCATATTAGAACAATCGTTTATTGGTAAAAAGAACATGAGTAATATGAAGGTAAATTGTTTTACATTTCACAACACGTAGTTGACCAAAATCATCCAGAAGCTTATTATTCGATCTTATTCATAAGAATAAGTCTAACTTACCGAAAGGTGTATGGGTACATATCTTTTGGAATTTAGAAGTGTTAGTAATAAACAATATAAACCCATATATGTGCGTACAAAAACTAATTTTTACAGTTGTTTCCACTATTTCAGCTTTAATTATCTTCATACCTTTTTGAATTGTTTCTTTTATATTTATGCATTTGTCTTGAGTCGTCTTTAAATAGTATATAATTTTACTGTCACCATAATCCATCCAAACATTCCTAATTTTGAGCAGGTTTAGAAAACTACTTTCTGTTCTGCAAGATGTATTTATACGTGGATCGTAAAGGCAAATTATTAATAACCAATATAACGTCAATAAACAGTACGAAAATTAGCAGCAAGCTGATTAAAAACAACTAACGACGTTCTAAATTACCCAAACTACTTTTAATAATTAATTTACATTCATTTGGAGAAAATCTATTTACGAAAACTTTTGTTAATGGTCTACGACAAAGTCTAGATTTTTTAAAGATGCAGTGAAAGATTTAGATCGAGTATAGTACAAGATATAGTAGTGCACCATCGACTTAACGAGGTAAATATTGAGCACAGCTGAACTTTTGGAACTCTTCTACAAGTTATTATTACCCATACTTTTATTGTATAATTAATAAATACATGAATTATTGTATCTTGGATTCCTCTAGTTGTAAGTTTTGGTTTGACGCACAAACCGTTGTTGTATGCTTCACATATCGCAAGTTATTATCAATTAAGTACGGACATATCATATAGTTTACTTCGACTTGCGGTTTACATACTTACGTCTGTTACTCCTCGTGGAGGAGCTTCTAGATGAAGAGGAAATTAGGAAAAGAAGTTGGAAGTGGGTAAGATATACATTGCGGAAATCATCGAACTGCATCACGAGGCAAGCGCTAAATTGGAATCCTGAGGGGGGAACGGGAAAGAGGAACACTCAAGAACACACTGCGTCGGGTATCGGAAGCAGACTATAGCAACTATCATACAACCAATATCGATTATGGTTAATTCTGGTTAAGCCCTTTTATTAACTTACTTACAGACAATATTATTTGAACAGTAATAATCTGCACATTTCATTGTATCGTCACGCTCACTAGATCACATGACAAACTCGAGCTAAGGTGTTGATTGCTTAAATTTTACTCGATGAATTATCCTTCTCTCCATGTATTATTATTAGCTTTTGCTTTGCCTTGCTGCGCCCTTATGCAATTTGACTATGTAACTGCTTGCATATACTTATTCGCCTCTACGCTTGAAATACGTTCAATGTGCTTATAGCTTTGTGATCTGTGCTATCCGCTAATACACTGTAATTGCCACTTCTCTTTGCCTTCTGATCTCAAACAGTTGAGGCTTATATAATAACGGTTACGAGGGTGATCGATTAACGAAGCAAAGCCACTACAGACATCAATGGGATGAACAGCAGCTAGAAAAAACTAGAAAGGATTGCCGAGGACAGAGTTGGATGGAGAATGATGGTGAAAGGTCTATGCTCCTCCACCAGGAGTAACAGACGTAAGTATGTAAACCGCAAGTCGAAAATAACTATATGATATGTCTGTACTTAATTGATAATAACTTGCGATATATGAAGCATACAACAACGGTTTGTGCGTCAAACCAAAACTTACAACTAGAGGAATCCAAGATACAATAATTCATGTATTTATTAATTATATATGACTTAAAATTTAGTGATACTGACAGATTGTGAATGGTTTAGACGCATGTACACTTGAAGTTTTAAAACGAATGAGATGTGCATTATGGAATACGTTGTTTAATGATATTAATACACAACAAAGCCTTTGCTACATATGTATGATTAAACGTTTAGAGTACATATTCCAGTCATATTTTTCACATTTGCATAGATTGTACCCAAGTTTAATTTATTACTGAGTTGTGATTAGTTATTAAAATCAATTTACGCAACTCGGTAACTAACAACAGATCTCTTCACTCTATTTTGAACAATACTATATATGAGAGCTGGTGACACTAAATCTAGTAATGAAATCGAGATAGTTAAGGCACAACTTGTAATAAATTTATTCAGACTAAAGGACTTAACGGACAACAAATGCTATATCGTCAATGACAATGAAAAAAATGTTAAAATAAAACGAACATAAATACTTACTTGGCATTATAGATGAAACGGTGTTTAAATGTGCTCTTTCTTAAGTGGACTACTGGCCTTAACGATCCATCAATGAATGCTTGGAAATGTCGCATGGGAAACTTAAAATATAAACAAAAATACCATAATCGCAGGTAGGAAGTATATTTCAATGAGTTTTAAAACGCTTTTTTTACCTGTCACTGATGTAGTAGTGTTAAACCAAATGTTTTGTGATGTCAAGTTGGTTCTCATTGGTTAGAAATATCAAATTACCATGTGGATAGATGTAGCACATTAAGTGAATATTCCTTAGAACATTAAAAAACTAATCCATTATAGTTTGTTTTTAAGCCAAGTAAATTAGGGTCATTCGTACAATATATTCGTTAACTACTTAATTGGTGACGTACAATTTATAACCAAGCAATTATATGAAGTTACAATAAGCAAATTGGTATAATAGAGAAGAGGCATTTAGCTGGAAAAACCGTTAAATAATCCAACCGATTATCTTAATACACCGAGTAACCACCTGCAAAATACTATGAGTATTCTAGAGGGAAGATGGTTACAGCTGAACCGTTTGAGGTTTAATAAGTACAAGTTAGTAGAATTAGATTTGAGTCACACAATACATAAGGAAACTAGTAACATTAAGCAGCTGGAAAAAAGTTTGAACCTGAAAACTACAAGAAAGCAATCAGATTGATTCCAAGTATAATGAGCATAACTTCTTAGTCATGATATTAACAACAAAATAAACAGACTGCTTATTTTTTGGGTTAACTAGTTTGATAGTGCAGCTCAGATTGTCATTCTACATAATAACAATTGGTGCACAGTGTTGCGTAACGAACTAGTGAAACAGTTTTAACACAGCTACTAAAAATGCCTTAATTCAATACAAAAGAATAATTAGCTAGCTTGATGCACGTTATTTTAAAAAAAAATGAGTGTTTTCTGTCAATCATATAATATTTATCGACAATACAAAATCATTTGTACTGTCGAAATGAAACAGTAAAATTTAATTTGAGAATATAAATCTTACGGCATAACGTTCTGGAAAAACTACTACGGAGCCATCAAATAATGTTACCCTGATCGCTTCAACATTTATCGATCTTAATGATTATACCTAAAGAATACTCAGTATTTAACAAAGAATCAATTAATGAACAGTAGTCTGAGCAGTAGGATATAAACATCATTTAACGGATTTACATAAGCGAGTCAGATAGGTATTGATAATAATCGGATCGAAATATATTTACTTAAATCGACAGACAGAAAAAGTTACTCACCTGGGGTCCAGTAAGAAAAGCTGTTGGAGTAAAAGAAAAAGCTAATGTCTCCAATACTCCAGGAAATTTAGATAAAGCTGATTTTCTTTGAGAAACCGAACGTTGACTCTAGAGAAAATAAGACAAATTCATATTTAGTTGGAATGGTACTCGCTAACTAGTATTAACTCTGACGTTTCAACAACTTAGAATAAAAATCTGTAAAACGTTGCAGCAAAAACGCTGTAGTAAGTAAAAGGATTACCTTACAACTATTTCTGTATGGTATTGTCATTAACTTACAGACAGACTACATGAAAACTGTTTTATCAAAATGTTAAAACTCCCATACTCTAATATTCTGGTAGTTTTAGATATGTGAACATATGAACCACCTACAGGTATCCTTAACTATAATCCCCTTGATTACTCTAACAATATGATGCATCTTTAACAAATCGAATGAATGTTTGGTATTTTACTGAAAACTACTGTTCAACGAATCGACGAGCCATTTAGTGCCAGAATGGATCAAAACTTACCAAAATCAAAAAAAGAAACATGTGCCATAATATATATATATAAATGCCCTGGCACAATCGAGAGTGAGGAGAGTCAGCTCTCCCTCTTCGAATGCTCTCTTATGACTACAAGTATACAGCCACTGTCATGGAAGTCATACTCACTACCTTCAAGTGCTGAGGATGTTGTTTACTAAATTGAGAGGACGAAAACCGAATGTTCAGAGCTCTAACCAGGTCGATGAATATGAAGGATCCACCTAAGGGAGTTGGAAAACCCTGGCTCCCAGCCAGTGGTGCATATGGGCTTCACAATCCTGAGGGGAAAAATGGAGTATGAACCTATTGTTGGTCACTGGCTGCCATGGGACTGCATCTAATATTGCCCCCTACCTTGTGAATTGAACCTCTAGGTCAAGGGCGTGGCCCCCTAAAAACTACCTGCTTCGGTTTCGGCTCCCTGGAAGTATTCCAGCCCTCAAAAAAATAGAATGAAGTGCGGAGCATATATAGTTGGTGTCTCCCTATACCTTCTTTTGTGTTTAAATAATAAGTCGAAAACAAATAGCAAGATGCTGCATGAGTACGATTGCCAGAATATATGCAGAACTGATTGCGTGACAAAGGTAACAGGAAAAAAGTATGAATACAAAGTGGTTTTATGAATTGGATATTGTTGTAAACCTGCAACGAATGACTGTATGGATTTGATGTGTACATAACTACCAACTTGAAAACCAATGACACAAAATCACAAAGCTAAGAATTATTTGAGTAATATGGTTAGATAACTGGGATAGTAGTATTAGAAACCGATTTAAAATCAGTGCTTTTGGAGTAACTTCATTTAATTCGTTTGACTCCAAATGCTTCAAATTCTACAATCTTTTATTGATCTATAACTTAAAGATATCAGTCTTCTAAATCTTAGTCACAATTCTGATAGTAGTCGAAATTGAAAATTATAGTGGAGATTTTGTTCCATTCAGAACTCGTCATCTAGATATTGTATGGCTCATTATATAGTACATGCTTCAAGCATAGATTCCGGATTTAAAACCTAATATGGTCTCAGGCGTGCACCATTAACACTATTTGGATCAAGATTATCGATATCAGTGAAGTTGTTCTCCGGACTCAGTGAGTAAAATATAAAGTGCTGTGATTTGTTCTCCCCTCTACTAAATCACATGACATATGATAAACATGAATGAAAGATGTTAGGTTTGCTGAAACTTGCTTACTCTAAGAAAACACAAAAATGGGAAATTAATGTTATCCTGGATTACTATTTATTTATTTTATTTTGACACATAGATATTGGTACAAGGAGGCACCAAATACATATGCACCACACAGATCTCATTTGATATGTGTGAGGGCTGTGATACTGCACGGGTGCCCAAACCGAAGTAGGTGGTTTTCTTAGAAGGACACACCCGGAGCCTTCGACCTGAAGCTCTGACCCGCGAGGCAGTGGAGCATCGTAAGGAGATGCAGTCCCATGGTAGCCGGTGACCAACGATTGGTTCATACGCCATTTGTTCCCCCAGAGTACTGGAGCGCATGTGCACTATTGGCTTGAAATAAGGGTTTCCCAATTCCCCTAGGTGGACTCCCCATATCCACTGACCCGGTTAATGCGCCGAATATTCGCTTTTCGTCCTCTCGATTTCGTAAACAACACCCCCGCCACGAGAAGGCAGTGAGGAGGACTTCCCTGGCAGAGACTATATACGTGTGGCCATGTGAGGGCATTTCGAGAGGGAGAGAGGACTCTCCCCACTTTCGGGCGTACCAAGGCATCTGAGGGCTAATACCTAAAAATTTATCTAAGCAGTAAGAAAATAAACACCGGTAACCAGAGTTTATTTTACAAGCTGATATTTAGCAACCTGCCAGTTCCCTATCCTATTTCGTGATAACGAATTCTAAATACTGATTTCAGCCAAAATATATTGAGACCTCAGATGTACTACGGACCGACATCCTGATCACTTCATGTTAAATTCCTGAAGAACTTTTTGGGCGACCTATCACCACTAATTTTCAGTAATTCGTGGAAAAGAAATGTGAAAAACTAAAACTTTATAAATTTTGAGTTGAAAATTTAAGAGCATGAACCAATTCAGAAATGCATGAGGCTTTTTGCAATTTCAAACATTTCAATATCCCAAACCCAATATAGTCCAAATTCTGACAAGGTAGCTATACTAAGTGAGATTTACTTTACCATAGTTTGAAAAAATGAAACTCCCAAAACCCATGGTGACCGATACTTACTTCTGTTTTAGATGCATCATATAAATCCCATGATAGTCCAATCATTCGCAAGCAAAGAACACAATATGGTGTTGTCCAATTTATATCATAGGTACCTCGGTTACATATATGAGAGCCGATAATTAAATATCCCTTTTAGTTGATAGCGATTAAAATTTATTTGCAAACAAACCATATTAAACACGAAAGCAAATATGACGGCAGTTCTCGAGTGCATAAACAAATAATTAACAAACAGTGTCGCGAAAATCCCAACAAACATATGCACAATATCAAAACCTAGAGGTAAAGACAATAAAGACAACATGAATCTACCAAAATTCCACAGGAACAAAAGGACACCACATGTAAACAAATAAAGATGTCGATAGGAAATTTTCCACGAGCTTGCCTTCATATTGTATATAAAAGCGATAGGATAACCTAACAAAAAGGTTAATAACGAAAATGAGTTATGCCGATAAACAAACCCATGAACATGGATAAAAGTAGACGAACAGCCACAACATCCGTACCCAGCTTTTCTGAAATGTATGATGCAAAAGTCTCCATTTCTATATGCAGTTGGAGAGACAGAAGCAGTTAACAGCGAGTATTCGTGACAATAGTTGGCCCAGTTTGTAAACTTCGTCGAGTTCAGCTGTGGAATATTTTAATACAAACAAACAGAAAACCGAACAGATCAGAAACTTGATAATTCTGGGGTATTACGTTAAATAATACATGAAATCTCAAACACCTCCGTCCCCATCTAATAAATATATAACAAATTAAAATGATGGTCGTGTTTGCGATATTGTAATGATATATTTTATTTTATTTTATTTGAACACATAAATATTGGTACAAGAGAGCGCCAATATATATGCACCACACAAAACAATGGGAATTCGAAGAGAAGTAGAAAGAAGAAAAAAAGAAGAAAAAAAATTGATGAACTCTTTATGTAATGATAGCAACAAACGAAGTATGGCAGAAGCAGATTGTTACAAGTGAAATGCAGAATCAGATGGTAATTATAATTAGGCTTCATTAAAAAGAAACAATTCCACTTCAAACGAGAGTGGCGATTATTGATTCACAACATGCGTCACTAAACAAGTAATTAGTGGGTGATGTCTAGACACTTTACAGATATAATGCACTTCCAGGCATCTCAACTGATTATCATCACAGTAGTTAAAAGACATACCATCTGACCATAAGATTAAACGTTTGAACCTCATTCCGAATACTTCAACAGGTGAAGTTTTGTAATGTTAATCGTCCTTAGATAATGTAATTCAATGCCAAGTACACAAACCTATACTGAATTATGATAGGGATACATTGCTTTCATGTAGCCAGGTGCTATATCCAACGTGCCCTAAATGACGGAAGTGTAACTAAATAACAATCGAATTTGAGCACCCTAAATAGTTTACGGTGTTTTATTTCCTTTTGAGCTAGGGTTGGTCGGGAAAGTAAATCACGTAACTGTGTGGATTTTTTTACGTCAATAGTGTAAAATTTAGCGGTTTTTTAAACAAACTAAGAAAATCATAATCGAAGTGTAATGTACACCCCACTGTTGGAATCTCCCAGACTAGGCAAGATGATGCAAATGTTAAAGTGAAGACAATGGGAAAGTGCCAAATGGCAACATGACCCAAATAATTAGAATGGTATCAATTTGTTGAATTTATCCATATATAGATGCGCCCAAATTCTCCTTACCTAAATTCTTATTCATTGAATCAAATCATTACGACCTTACATTATGGGAATATAACTCCCAAAACCAGAAAATCTTTAAGATGGCCAAGAAGTTTACCGGTAATTTGTTGAAACAATTAACTGGAAATATCTCATTGATATGGGGCTCTGAAAGCTGCCATATCAACATGAGACAAAAGAGAGCTTGCCCCTAAGTAGGAGCTCATAATTTACTTACACCTAACAGTGGAGCCAAGAGGTAACAGTTATTACCGCACGGGAAACAATACAAGATGATTTGAACAGTGCGCTACATGAATGATAATAAACTCAGCGCGACAATACTGCGATCCAATAAAAAATCACGTGACGAACTTTTAAGGTTGTACAAAACAGCTAGTTCTTTCTGCCAGTGTGTTGACTTTAGGAGGTTTATGGCGGATAATCGGCTGCATTTAACAGTGTTTGTTAGGCCTTTGACTGAGGTTACGCTAGCAAATCCAACAAATTCTCGAGCGTCATTTTTGCGGAGGGAACCAAGTTTGACGAAAACAGCTATATTTGGACCATTTGGCTGCCAGTTGACTGATATGACTTACCTAAAGGGTGATAAGTTAAAAATATATCAGTCAACAAGAAAAGAAAACTAAACAATCTAAACTATTTCAAGGTTGAGGACACAATGGTATATACGAAGTGACAGGACGAAACCAGGTTAATGAGTGTGGCATGGTTTGTTTCATCTTCAAAAGACAGTCCATAGATAGCAACTTGTTACTTAGGACCTTGTGGAAAGCAGAGTTGGCATCGATTAAGTTTGTTTATTTAGGTAGCTCCCAACAGTTCAAAGCACAGCATCTTCATAGTGCTGTAGGGGCAGTGAAATGTCATTGAGCCCTAGCCAAATCATTTGGCAGTTGGGTCGCTGAATATCGAACAGATCATCGATCCCTGTCAAAGCCAATGGCAGCCAACGCGCATCAGTTAATCGTATACCATGAGCTGGCGCATGCGGTGGTGGTCTTGCTATGTTCTATGTACTCATTCTTACTAATATATTTCCATAACAACATCCTTTGTGGTATACGGTCTTCACAGCAACCATAGTACTTTGATACATTGAAGGGGTAATCCATGACAGATTCTGACCGCGAAGTTTGATTGGTTCGTCACACCATTTCCGTCTAACTCGAGTAGACCTCCAATCATTCTACATAGATCATCTACGTTAGTGATCTACGGTGCTACTAATAATTTTATGGATATTTTCAGAAAGAGCTAGCTTTTTGTTCACGTCTTTAAATGGTGCAAAAATAATGTTTCCCAGTACCTTAAAAATTACTCGGGTTAAACGCACACGACGACAACCATGAAAGCTATATCTCGTGCCTGTTTGGAAGAGTTCTTCAAACCACCTGACAACCAACGTTGGTTGACAAACGAATTACAGCGATTGCTTAGAAGATTTGCGGCGAATAATGTGAGTCGCTTTATTTGCCTAGGATGCACTTGGAACAGGCTGGATTCCGCAGGGATCGTTCGTGCACAGACCGACACTGAGGATCATCGTCGAACGATCAATTGAGTGGAACGCGTCACTGTAAATCAACTTCATTGGTTATGACAAAGCCCTTGACAGTATAGATAGGAGGACATTATGGAAACTTCTTCGACACTACGGAGTTCCTGAGAGGATTGTCAATATTATCCGGAAATCGCACGACAGACTACAGTGCAAAGTCGTGCATGGAGGACAGCTGACAGATGCATTCCAAGTAAGGACCGGAGTTAGACAAGGCTGTCTACTCTCTCCCTTCCTCTTTCTTCTGGTGGTCAACTGCATTATGAAGACCTCAACATCTGAGGGAAAACACGGAATGCAATGGACAGCTCAGAACCAATTAAACGATTTGGACTTCGTAAATAATCAGGCCCTTCTATCGCATACACACGAACAAATGCAGATAAAGACAGCCAGTGTAGCAGCAGTCTCTGCATCAGTAGGCCTCAACATACACAAAGGGAAAACCAAGGTCCTCAAATTCAAAGCGGAAAACACCAATCCAATCACACTTGATGGCGAAACTCTGGAAGATGTGGAATCCTTCATATACCTGGGAAGGATAATCGATGAACAAGGAGGATCCGATGCAGATGTGAAGGCGAGGATTGGCAAAGCAAGGGCTGCATTCCTACAACTGAAGAACATGTGGAACTCAAAGCAACTTTCAACCAATATTAAAGTCAGAATCTTCAATACGAACGTCAATGCAGTTCCACTGTACGGAGATGAAACTTAGGGAACTACAACAACCACCATCAATAAGGTACAAGTATTCATAAATAGCTGTCTGTGCAAGATACTCAACATCCATTGGCAGGATACCATCAGCAACAGCCTTCTGTGAGAGAGAACAAATCCGCTTCCAGCTGAAGAGAAAATTTGGAAACGACGAAGGAAATGGATGGGACATACATTGTGGAAATCATCAAACTGCATCACGAGGCAAGCGTTAAATTGGAATCCTGGAGGGAAGCGGAAAAGAAGGTCAGAGAGCACACCACGTCGAGAAATAAAAGCAGATATGAAAAGGATGAATAACAACTGGAAAGAACTGTTAAGGATTGCCTAGGACAGGGTTGGATGGAGAATGGTGGTGAGCGGCCTATGCTCCTTCATGAGGAGTAACATGCCTAATTAAGTACGTGCACCTGTGCTATAACTACGACGGCAGATTAGAGGACAGCGAATTATCGATCGGACCAAAGACGCGCAAACACGTAAGAACGGCCTAGGGTTCTGATTGGTCCCGCTTCCCTGTCTAGCCCAGCCAGTTGAGTCCAGAACACAAGTCTCAGCCTCAGAGATATGAATCATTATATTTCAGACATACTCTGTTTATATACCAACCAGACAGACCACATCGTACCACAAAATAGAAAATAACATTGTACAATATTGACCAGTAGGGAAATGATGCATGAAATAAATACTGACCAATAAGAAAATGACACCATGTCAAGTCCAAGGATAGCGTTAGACTTAACAGAATAATTCTTGAGACATTTTCCTGAATATCCCATCAACCTGGAAGATTCTTTTCAAGGGTTGTGTATGAAAATCCCTTCATACATGCACTTGCAATTTCTTCCTCTCGATTCCTTCATATGTATATTCTGGTAATCCTTTTGTTTTCACTTAAGATTGTACCGTTTTTATTTTATTGTAGTTTCTATTTTCCCTTACGTATTCACTAAATTTCCATGCTTTTCTTGAACCCCAATTATTTTGTTCGAGTTGATAATTAGTCGTGTCGGCAGTCACATTGGGTCGCTTTTCGTGCCTGAAGTTGACCCTCGTTCCATTGATGGAAGAAACCAAACTGGTAGTAAATAGATCTCTGTTTAGGTCGCGGAACAGTCACACTGGAGTTAACGGTCACCTGTTCAAGAATAAAAAACCTTTCAATATTCGATATAAGATAATAGGAAATAATAGGAAATGCACACATGTATTCGTGAGAAATGATAGAGTACGACAGCCGTTACAGACTCCTTACGACGGCCCTTTTAAAATCATCCGAAAGGACACTAAAACGGTTACAGTGGAAAGAGCAGGTAAACATGATACAGTTAGCATCGATAGAGTAAAACCAGCATTTTTAGAGAACACTGAAAAACAGACAACTGTAAAACCGTCTAAACCTGCAGCAGAGCAAGCATCATTCAAACTACCTGCAACAAGCAACACTTCAAATCGAAATTCAGCAGCAGCACAAACTACAACAAGATCAGGAAGAAGAGTACATTGGCCAGATAGGTATGTAGCAACCACCATATTTATCTAGACCAAATCCTGAGACTACTCTTATAACACATAAAAATCTTACTTTATTTTGATTACTATTTTTTTATTGGCCCCACGGATCATCATTATGCTTACATTTTAACTTTATACAATTCATTAATGTTAAATATACACTTGTATATACATGATATGAAACGTTTCAACACACAAACTGTTATTACAGTTTTACGCTTACTCATCATATTGAGTTGTACTTTCATTTTAAAAACAGTTCCGTTCTTTATCTCTTTGTCGAACATAGATGTTAATCCAATTTTTTTGGTACATAAAAACATCAATGTTCTGGATGGGAGCTTATGTGGCAAGCCCATTTGGCTACTGTATCATTTATCTAGTCATTTTAACTCAGACTCAATTCACTATGTTAATTTCGGTGTGTATGATCGAATGTATGTCTGTACATTAACTCTTAAACTATTTTCCTATTGGTTTCAATGTGCAGATAATCGATAATCTATCCACACCCGATTAACTCTCAAATATATATGGATTTTTAACAGACTCACACTCTCTCTGTTCCATCGTGTGCTTGCTCACCGTACGCTTGTGAATTATCATTATTCATTAACAATAAACAATCTCTATAACTGGTGTTCAGGCTTTTTAATAATCTCGAGTAAAATTCGCAATTCTACTAGGAGATTAAGCCTACCTAAAATACTCAGTTATGGAATATTATTATTTGGAGTCAGATATTGAGGACATTACCCTTAACATATTGGTGACCCGCCTTTAGAACGCGCACCATTTTCCTCCAATGTCTGCTGCATTCTCCTCAAGAGTATCATAAAGAACTTCATATTGGAATTATTATTATAATTAATAACAATCCATTAACAGTCATAATAAATCCATCCATAACATTGTTCCTTTGGAAGTATTGCTGTATATTCGCATATTTAAACCAAAAGTGACAGTTTTTCTTCTTGGTGAGTCTTATATATATTTCTTGTTGTTATTTTTGATTTCTCTTCATATTGTATATTGCAATCCTCAGCTTATTATTACTATTGCTTTTTCGTATCATGGCACTTGATAATTCGTTAAGCCTTTCATCTAAATCTATTTCCGTGGGTGCCATCTCTGTACATTTACCCATTTTTAATCCACGAAAGGCTGAACTCTGGTTTGCTCGTTTGGAAAGCTTTTTTGTTGCAAACAAAATCACAAACCAGAGTACGAAATTTAGTTGTGCAAATTCACTGCTGCCAGATGACGTCATTGAACAAGTGCCGGATGTCATTTTTAAGCCGGATCCTGACTCACCATTCGATTGTCTAAAAAGAGAGGTCATTCGTGTCACATCTCTCACCGACCAACAGACAATTGATCAACTTTTAGCCAACGTGGAGCTAGGTGACAATACACCGTCACAGTTAAAACGCCACATGACAAACTTATTAGGAAATCGTACAGTAGACAAACGTCTACTATATCAATTGTGGCTCAGACGTCTCC